CCTCGAACTCACAGAGATCCGCCTGCCTCTGCCTCCTGAGTGCTGGGACTAAAGGCGTGCGCCACCGCTGCCCGGCCCAGTTCCTGTAATCCTATACAGCAGTGCTCATCAATCCTCTTCTACTCTGTCCCTTGAGGATCCGTCACGTTTCTTGTTTCAGTGAGAGTTACTTTCAATTTCCTCTCCCCTGGACTTGGAGCAGGTAAGATATTCGGGAGCATTGGCCAGGAGAAGTATTGAATTGGAAAGAATGAGCTGGTGGTCCAGACCCTTGTGTGTACTGCAGCTACTTTTGAGTGTGTTTGAATGCAAATGGGAATATGGAGGTTGGTCAAGATCCTGAGCCAAAGCAGGCAAGGCCTGGGTCTTTCTGAGGAGCAGGCAGGTTTTACCCTTGGTGTTAACCACTACCCTTGGTGTTAACCCCTATCCTCTTGGACAGGTGGAGAGATCCCAAGGTGAGTGCTCTGCATAGATCCTGGACACATCTGCAAGTGTAGCCTAGGATAACTAGGAGCTTCCTATAGTGATGGATGCAGTGATCCCACTTCAGAGTATAGTTTGAGCCCAGATTCTGTGTATGAGGTTCAGCATTATTCACTGTAGCCAAGAGGTGTGAGGGTAAGTCATGTGTTCATGGATGGATGAGATCACAGAAACATGATCCAGCGAGGTGTGGTGGCTCAAGGTCGTAAAAGCAGGTCTTCTGACCCTGGGCAGGAAGATGGAAGGGAGATTAAAGGCTATTCTGTGCTCTTGCAAATACATTGACTCAAAACCAACCAAACACTGGGCAGTGGTGGCGCACGCCTTTAATTCCAGGAGGCAGAGGCAGGCAGATCTCTGAGAGTTCAAGGCCAGCCTAGTCTACAGAGCCAGTTCCAGGACAGCCAGAACTACACAGAGAAACCCTGTCCTGAAAAAAAAATGTTTGGCTGGGCGGTGGTGGTGCACGCCTTTAATCCCAGCACTCGGAGGCAGAGGCAGGTGGATCTCTGTGAGTTCAAGGCCAGCCTGGGCTACAGAGTGAGTTCCAGGGCAGGCTCCAAAGCGACACAGAGAAGCCCTGTCTCGAAAAACAAACAAACAAAAAATTTTTCATCTATACCTAAAGGCTATAGACAACCCAGACACTTGGGGCCCCCTGGATCCCTGTGTCCACCTCCTGTCTGATTCACCTGACTATGGGGACAATAGCTGCCGTCTTCCATTGACAGCTCCGCTGTGGGGTCGGAGATACCGGCCACAGAACCACATGAGGCAGTGCGTAGTTTTCCCTTCAGCACTCAGTAGATTGAGACAGGAGGATGGGGAATTCAAGGTCGTCCTCGTCTGCATAGTGAGGCCCAGAGAAGCCTGGGATGAATACATAAAACCCCCGGGGCTGGGGCTCAGTTATTAGAGCGCTCGTCCGTGTGCCTGGAGCCCGGGGTTCGGTCCTCAGGGCCACATACATTGGCCATAGTGATGCATGCCAGTCGTCTCAAGGCTCGGGAGTCAGAAGAACCGAAAGTTCAAGGCCTAGGAAGCCTGGGAGACCCTGACTCAAATGAACAAAACTGGAAGCAGATGAAACAAAAAGCCAAAACCTTACCAGTGAATATAGACAATGAAAAATGTTCTCATCGTTCACAGAGATTGTGACTGTGTATGTGGGGGGGGGCCTCTATTCCTTCTACTTTTAAATAACTTTTACCTGAGGTTGGAGGACACCAGACTGGTAGAATTGCTCCTAGGGGTGGCCTGTCAGGATCTGTCTACTCTCTGTGAAGGAGCAGGGATGGTTCCTGACTGCTTCTGTCTCCCAGGTCTCACCAGGACAGCTCTCTAGGAGCTTGGTGACAGTCCTCGACACTCAGGGAACACATGGCAGGGCCTGGGGATAGATGTGGACCACCAGAAGGTCCAGCATGCACAGGGAACACCATGAGACACAGGGCACCCCTGCCTCCAGGCAGGTCCCCCAGGCACAGACCGAAGCAGTGTGACCATCCTGCCTCCTGCTGAAGAAAGATGGTGTCTCGTGCAGCAGACCTCATATGACCAGGGGTTCCAAGCCCACAGGACCACCAGGGCTTCGATTGGCAGGTACAAAGCACCTGGGCACAGTCATCTCAGCTCCCATCTGGCCGTCTCTCCTCTCAGGCCAGATCTGCCCATGCATTTTAGGAACTGGAGGAAAGGCTCAGCCACCCCCATGGCCTTCTCAACCTTCCTGACTGAAAGGTCCCCAAGGAAGTCTGTCATACACACAGCTGGTGCTGCTCCACTGAGCAGCTAGGTACATTGTGTTCTGCTGTGGGTGGGGCCAAAAGGAGTGTGCTCACCACAGAGCTGGGGGTGGGGGGGCAGAGCTGGGGGGGCGGCGCTGGCCATCTGCCGCAGGCTCGGCTAGGGTTATATGGAGAGCCTTCCTGTCATAGGAAGAGTCAAGCCCATAAAAGATGAAGCCCCTGGAGCACTGACTCTGTAATTACCGTGTAGGCTCTGAACACTGGGGCCGAAGTCACTAGCTGCAAAGACTCTGCTCCTCAGACAGCTGCCTAGTGTGGACATGGACAGCATGGCTGTGTTCCTCACTGTCAGGCTAGACCACACCAACTCTTCCCCCGTGTGCTAGTGTGAGTGTTGTCCCAGGGAGCTCCCCAGATGCCAGGAATCCAGGAGGTGGCCTGGTACTGGGGGGGCGGGGTCCTAGGAAGATGTGTGCTCAGGCAGAGCACTGGAGGAGGAAGTAATAATTTTCCTGGAGAAACCAAGGAGTCAAGCCTTGGAAGCCATGATCTCTACCACTTAAGTAAGGAAGTCAGAGGGAGAGCCAACAGCCCCCATGAAGATGGTGTTCAGACCTCAGAGGACCTTCTCCCATCCTCAGCCTCATGGAGAAGCCTCTGTTCTGGTGCAGATCCTGATAGCACACAGGGTGTCCTAGGAGCATCTGCCCAGCCTCTTCAGAGATCCTACAGCTGGCTGGAACAGTGGCTAACCAATGTGAGCAGCAGGAGCTGGGGGCTGCCAGGCTAGCGCTGGGACAGGGACAGGGCAGACAGATAAGGACTGTCAGTCTGCTCTCCACCCCAGAGCTCTGTGTCAAAGTAATCATCCCTCTGCAGGTGGGCATCTCCATGTACAGCTACGTGATCTGGAGCAGCTGGAGAAAACTCTCATATGAGGGATGTCCAGACCTGATGGACAGGCAATGTGAGGAAGGTTCTGGAACCCTCGGTCATCTTCTCAGGGATGTTCAAGGTTCCCTATGTCCCTGGAGACCCATGTACTCACTGTCCTTTGTTTCCTACTCTCGGTCCCATGGCTGTGTCTGAGGATGAGAAGGTATTGCTAGCTTTGAAGTACCGTCTTCAGCAGGCGTCCCAGCTCATCTGCTCCACAAAGTGCAGGTAAGGCTGAAGAGCTCCCGTTCCTGCACGCCCAGTCCTTGCCTCAGGACCCTCCACAGAGACCCTCTGCCAGCCTCCTACAGCTATCTGCTCAGTGGCCTTTATCCTTGGTGCCTCTGCTAAAGCCGCACTACGGGAAGCAGGTGGGAGCATCGGAGCACAAATCCGGATCCCCCAGGTCACCTGCTGGTGCTCACTGCTGCCCCATGGGAGCCTGGGCAGGCTGGGGTCCTCCTCAACTGCCCTTGCCTCCTGGGATGGTGAGGTGGAGAGTCTGAATGTTTTCCAGGCAGGTGTGGCCACAGCTATCTGCCCTGACCACCTTGGGAAGAGCCTCCTGGTCTCTGCCCATCTTGTGAAGGATGTGACCTGAGAGATGGAGGACAGAGATGAGTCCCAGGAACTGCCATCAAGTCTGCCCCGGCCAGGCCAACTGCCACCCTCTGGGCACATGAAAGGGTGCAGGGGCTTGATCTGGCCATCCAGGCCTCTCCTGGCCTGCACCGGAGCAGCTTCTGAGTCCAGCCCCAGGCTGGGAGTGCTGCACCCCACGGCCTTACCTCTCCAACCAGCTAAGGGGCCTGAGGCCGGGCCTCACCTGTCTGTGCCTTAGCTTTTGGCCTTCTGGAGAAGCTTTTGGTCAGAAGGCAGAACCTGAAGGTTATGACTCACTCCACTTTGTCCGCTTTCACTCACCTATCTGCTCCTCCTCAGACCACCTCTCCCCAGCCTCCTAACATCCACCTGTCCCCTTGTACTGTGCACCCCAGGCGCCCAGGGTGTTCTTACTAGGAAGTACTGGAGGCACTGTCCCACGGAACACTTCATTTTATTGTTATTATGTCTCTTCAAGGACTGGTAGCCCCAAGGGTGGAAATACTCTTTGTTCAGTATCTATGTGCAGCCTGAGATGGACAGGGGTGGAGGCCAATGGCTGCTTTGGGCTGCTTGCGGAGACCCCCCAGCCTCTGAATCTCTGCCTGATTTCCTTTCATGGAAAGAGCATGGGAGTAAGCCAAGGCCTGAAAAGCTAAGTTACTTGGGTCCCCATAAAGGGTGATGGTGTGAAGAGGAGTCTAAGGCAACCCTGGGCCTCAACCTCTTGAGTACCATTCGGTGTCTCCCACTCCGGAGACAGCCAGGAGAAGCAGAGGCCCTGGGCCAAGTTACAAAGCCCAGAGTGTTCTCTCAGAGGTGGCCGCTAAAGCTATGGGCTAAACTGGTGTCTCAACATCTGATAAGAGAACTACCAAATTGGGGTGCAAACCCAGCAGAGACCTAGGGTGGAGCATGGTGAACATGGGATAGACAGGGCAAAGGAAACCATGAGTGGGTGTGTGGGTGTGAAAGGAACCAGCGGTGGGACCCTGGGGAGGAGCCCAGCGGGGGACTGGACCATCAGGATGTCACCATGACGGTCCCTACTAATAGAAGTGTGCTGACCAGCAGGGACAGCAAGACAGTGGCCTGGCCGACTGCGCTATTTGTAACTTGAGTCTCTCTCTGGCCCCTGGTGGTGGTGGTCTGGCCCCGGGTGGTGGTGGTCTGGCCCCTGGTGGTGGTGGTCTGGCCCCGGGTGGTGGTGGTCTGGCCCCTGGTGGTGGTGGTCTGGCCCCGGGTGGTGGTGGTCTGGCCCCGGGTGGTGGTGGTCTGGCCCCTGGTGGTGGTGGTCGGGCCCGGGGTGGTGGTGCTGCTCTGGCCGGCAGGGGGCGCCAGGCCGCAGTCGGTGTAGGGTTCCAGGCAGCCTGCAAAGGCCATGACGTGCGCGATGTAGTTCTGCTCCTGCACTCCATGCACCAGGTGTGCCTGCGGGCCACGCGCGAATATCGCCACGTCCTCCCCGCCGTGGGTCTCCGAGGACAGCGGTACAGCCGCCTGCTGCCGGTACGTGGGGTCACCTAGGGAAGACAGGGTGTTTAGGGGGAGCAGCGTCTGTTTGCAGCCCCAGTTAGGCTGGGCTAAGGCACTTACCACTCTGAGTACTGTTGACACTGGGCCGGTCTCCTGAATCGAGCACGTAGCCTGGGCCGTTGCCGTAGAGAATGGAAGTGTAGGACTTGCCGTCTAGGGCATTGGCTGGAGCCAGACCTGCACGGAGGAAGTGAGACACCTTGTCCTCGTCCTGACAGCTGCTTTTGGAGCGTGGGTGAGCTCATTTTGCCTGCTCAGTGGTTAAATTGTCACCAATCCCTACAAGGCAGGTGCTTCTTGTGCCATTTTGACAGGTGAGGAAACTGTCCCCATATGCTTGAGGCAACACTGCCTGACACTGTCCCCGGCCTACCGAAGATGGAGGTCCCCCGAAGTGTGTAGCCACCAAAGGAGAAGACGTGGGAGTGGTCAGCAGTGACAAGGATCATCGTGTCCTGCTTACTGGTGAGCTGGTCCGCCTTATCAATGGCCGAGTCGAACATGACGGCCTCAGTCAGTGCCAGGTAGGCCGTGCCCGCATGATGGCCTTGGTCAATACGACCCCCTGCAGGAAGCCAGCGATGGGAGAGATGCTTGAGTTTGCTCTGGACACCTGGCCCCACCTCTTTCCCTGCCAGGCTCAACCACTCACCTTCCACAAAGAGGTAGAAGCCTCGGGGGTTCCTGCTCAGCATGTGTACGGCCACCTCTGTCATCTCCGCCAGGGAGGGGTCCTGGGTGGGGTCTCGGTAGATGTCATATTTCATTTCTGCTGGTTCAAAGAGGCCTGAGAAGCACAGGAATCCATGGTGACCACTAAGCTGGGAAGTGGGTAGGGGCTCATGCGCACACACACACTCTGATGGAGGCCCTGACAAGTGCAGGGGGACAAGGACTCACCCATGAGGTGAGTCACTTTGGGATCCTCGGACGCCTGAAAGAGCTCCGTGCGGTTCCAAACATACCGGGCCCCCTGCGGGGACACAGCCAGTCTTAGCACACAGACCTGAGAAGCACAGTCCTGCCCCGGGCCCTGCCTTAGATCGTTACCCTGGAACCCACATCACCTGGTGCTTTGCCAGCCACTCTTGAACGAGGTTCTGTCCATCCAGCCTGGTTCCATATTGGGCAGTGTCATTTGGGTATTCAGGGTCTGGTGTCCCCTTGGGAAACATGAACTTGCGACCTCCACCGAGAATCACCTTTGGTCAGAGGATCCACACAGGTAGACTTAGGGCTTTATGGGCCCCCACCCCCTCCCGACAGACAGCTCCTGTGTCCCCACCATGTCTGTGGGATATGCCGCTCCTGGGCTTCCCACACCCCCTTACACGTACTCCAGAGGACCTGGAGTTCAGGATGTTTATGCCTGGGACTATGGCCAGTCCAAGGTTCATCCCTCGGTCCAGCCCTCCCCCTGGTTCTCAGAGCTCACATCAATGTCCATGTTGGTAACGAGTTGCGTGGCAATGTCCTTGCAGCCCTCCTGCACCGCAGAAGGAGGCATTTCTGCATCCGAGTACCAGTTCCGGTTCACCGTGTGCGCGTAGGTGCCAGCTGGAGAGGCGTGCTGCACCCTGGTGGTCGTCACCACTCCCACAGACTTTCCTGCAGGTTACAGAAGGTCACCCAGCGATCCAGGCCTGCCCTAGCTCCCAGGCCCAGCTCCAACCCACCTGCTTTCTTTGCACGATGCATCACTGAGATGACCTCGTTGCCAAATGTGGTGTTGCACTGGTCGAATCGGGCAGCTGCGCTCAAGCCAATG